TATGACTTTCCTAATTTTATTCAAATCTAATCTTTCCTAAATTTATTCAAATCTAATCTTTCCTAAATTTATTCAAATCTGTAATCAATCAAATCAAATCTGTAATCAATTAAATCAAATCTTTCTAAATTTGCAGCAAATCATATCTTTCTTAATTTGCCGCAAATCATATCTTGTCGACACAGTGTAGCCCAAAATAATTGCTGTCTCAATGCCCCCTGTTTTGCTAATCCATCAGCTAGCCCATTTGCACTCCTTCGGACCCATTTAAAATCAGCCTCAACCTCCTTTGCAATCTTCTCCACTTCCCTAATCACATGTTTAAATGTCCATGGGGTGTGGCTGCTATTTGTTGCCCATGAAATTACTACTTTTGAATCCCCTTCCACTTCCACATGTCTGCATCCTAGTTGTTTGGCTAGCTTTAACCCTTGTAGTAATGACAATAGTTCAGCCTTTAGCGAGTTTCCGTTTCCAATCGGTCCTGAGAGCATACCCATTATCCTCCTGTCAGATTTCTTTATACTCCTCATTTTCTTGAGATGCCTGAATTTCCATATGAGCACCCATCAAAATTCAGCCTTACTTTATTGCCTTTAGGTGGTTTCCATTCCAGCCTTACTTTATCTCTTACTCTCGAAGATTGTGCTACTTCGGACCATGTTCTTAGAATATCTGCAACTGAAAAGACTTGAAAGCAGTCCAAGGGTTTTACCCAGTGGGCTACTTTCACCTTGATACTATCAATCACTTCCTCTATTGTTCTACTTTTTTCCAAGAAAATTCTGTTGTTCCTCTCTTCCCATGTTACCAGCAAGTTGCTGCCGTTGTTGCTTTCCACATTACCATCCCTCTTTTCTTTCTCTATCTCAAGAAATCATGGTTGAAGAGTCCTGCCACATCTTGAGGGGGAACCCACCTTTAGCCAAAGAGAGTACATTTTTGTTTGGATGCAGGTGGAATATGCCAATGGAGATTAAGATGCTGTTTGACCCATCTACATTTGTTTGGCCGAAGAAAAGGGGAAGAATAATGTGGAGGTGCACTAGAGTAGCAGTGGTGTGGACATTATGGGACGAAAGAAATGCTAGAATCTTCCAAGAGAAGGAGAGAAGTAAACAACAAATTATGGATTGTGTAATGACCAGAACCATACATTGGCTACAAACCATGGAACTGTTTAGACATTTTTCCTTTGATGACATTTGGAGGAATTGGTTTTCAGTGGCTTCTAGTTCAGTGCAGAAGAGTAAAACACAGCTGGTTTGGACACCTCCCATTGAAGGCTTTATGAAACTAAACTTTGATGGGAGTAGTCAGGGCAACCGAGGCCTTTTTGGAATTGGAGGGGCCATAAGAGATAAGGACGGTAATCTGAGAGCACTCTACTCAGGACAGTTAGGAAATGGAGACTCCTTAAGGGCTGAACTGTATGCAGTCCTACAAGGTATACAGATTGCAAGTGAGATAGGCTTGGAGAATTTGGTGATAGAAGGGGACTTCAAGGTGGTGGTGGGTTGGCTTAGAGACCCAGACTCAATGATATGGTGTGTTATAGAAATGAAATGAAGAAATTCAAATGGATAGCACAACATATGAATTTGACTATACAATGGGTGGGAAGGGAGGTTAATGCATTTGCTGACTATCTAGCTAAGGAGTATCTAGGGATCAGTTGTTTTGGGCCCAGTTATAATTTTTGTGTTGTTTTCTTTTAAAGAGTGAGGCTGCACCTCACGCCTGCCCTTGGGATGCTTGTAACAGACATTTATCTTTTTGTTGATAATGGATTTTTAATGAACTTTTACCTATCAAAAAAAAAAACATGGACTTGTTTGGGTCTGCCTCAAGGGGCTTGGTACAAAGGTGACTTGTAGAAACACTGGGGGGGACACTCCTCTTAAAGATAGACTCTTGATTATGTATTCCTTTTGTTTGAATAAATTCAATGTTATTTCCTCCCTAAGTGTGTCTGAGTGTTCTTAGGATCTAGGCTTGATGAGAGGTTTAAGATTCGAAATTGGGCTTTGCAGATGAGTTGTCTCTCTTGTGGCCTTGGTGTTTTTAGATTAGTCTTGCCTAGATAGCAGAATTTGGTCAGAGTCCTCTGATT